GCCGCTACGGCGCGTTTCATCGTGATCGCGTTGACACGCACCGACGAAGACTCAGGTGAGCCCCAGCGAGGTAAGGCGATGTTGTTACCGTTCACTCGCACGGTGCAGTCACCCGTCGTCCACTTGATTCTCGGATTGTGTCGTCGCAGCCAATCATGTGAAGAAAGGAACGTGAATGAATTGACTACGAACGAGGTGAGTACAAATAGGAAACCCTAATTGGGTTGTACCCCCTATGGGATACCCCACTATAGCCTACACAAACAAGTAAGCTATAATGTTCTGACACACCCCCATAGGCAAAGTGGGGGAGAACAAGGGGTCACAAGACCAGTCAAGCAAAGCAAAGCAAAGCTCAGGGTGGATCACAAAGTCACCACACATTCCGAGCACAAGTTCAAGGGCCACAAGGCCAGTTCACATGCAAGATCATATATAAAGATATACAAGAGTCAAGCAAGTAAGAGCAAGAGTATATATAGGTGAAGGTACAAGCAAGGTCAAGAAGTGAGCAAGTGAGGCAAGACAGGCACAAGACCCAGCTGCGTGCAAGAACGCTGATGATCACAAGGCGCAAGTGCCTTGGTGAAGACATCAGCAGTGTTGGCCTCAGAGGCCACGTACGCAAGTCGCAACTGTCCACGCTGCTGTAGCTCACGAGCAAGAAAGTAGCGGAGAGCAATGTGCTTCGTCCTGTGCTCCAGTCGCTGCTCTCGACACAAGGCCAGCATGGCCTTGTTGTCTACGTACAGGACTGGAGGAGAACGAGGCGGCTCTCCAAGGTCGGACAGCAGGTAGGTGAGCCAGCGTAACTCCTGTGCAGCCATAGCCCCGGCGTAGATCTCAGCCTCACAACTGGAGCCGAGAACAGAAGACGAGCGGGTAGCCCGCCACGAAACAGAGCCGGAACCAAGGCTGAAGGTGTAACCCTGTGACGACCGCTGTGTAGCCTGGTCGTCAGCCCAAGAAGCGTCCGCGTGCCCAGTGAGGACCACTGGACTGCGCCCTCCAAGCACTAGCCCCATGCCCGACGTACTGCACAAGTAGCGCAACACCCTCTTCGCTGCAGCCATGTGCTCTGGTCGGTGTCTCCCAGGAGCAACATAGCGTGCGAGAATGCTGAGAGGGTATGCAAGGTCAGGTGGTGTGCAGGTCATCAGGTACATGAGGCAGCCAACAAGCTCTACATACGGGCCACTCGACTCTACGGACTCATCCGAAGGCAGAGCTGAGAGCGAGTGGCGAGTAGGCAGAGGAGTGGCCTGAGGCGAGGAGTACGTGAAGCCGAAGCGCTGAAGGACCTGCTGCACCATCTGTGACTGAGTCAGGGTAATGGTGCGGCGTGCTGTGTCCCGGGTGATCTGCAAGCCAAGGTAGCTGCGCAGTTCACCCAGGTCAGTGCACGTGTGTCTCTTCTGCAGCTCGGACTTCACGTAGGCGAGTCCAGCAGTGTCCGCTGTGGCAAAGACCAAGTCGTCGACGTACACGAGGATGTAGAACGGCGGCAGAGAGGTGTCGGTGCGCAGAAACAGCGACGGGTCGGCAGTAGAAGGAGCAAACCCAAGTGCCGCAAGCGTAGTCCTCAGTGTGTCGTGCCACTCACGTGGCGCCTGGCGGAGACCGTAGACTGGACGCCGGAGACTCCACTGGGTACCAGGAGGGAAAGACCCAGTGAAGCCAGGTGGGCGACGCAGCCAGATCTCCTCGTGCAGGCTGCCCTGCAAGAAAGCTGTGCTGAAGTCGAGAGAGTGCAGCTCGTAGTCACGGTGAGCAGCAACGTGCAGCAGTACCCGAAGAGTGGTCATCTTTGGGGTGGGGGAGAAGGTCTGAAAGTAGTCAACTCCCTGCCGCTGACTGAAGCCACGAGCCACGTAACGCGCCTTGAAGACAGGCGGAGAACCCGGCGGCCGCTTCACCCTGAAAATCCACATGCCACTGACGATGTTCGCCCCAGGAGGGGGAACAGCGTCGACGTAGGTGCCTGTGGACTTCCAGGAAGCCATCTCTGCATCCATAGCTGCCTGCCACTGAGAGGAGTAGGGACCCTCTATCGCCTCCGCGTAAGAGCGCGGAGTCGGGATGTCTAGTGCATCCGGGTCTCCCTCAGGGGCTAGCAGTACAGACGCGAGATGAGGTGAAGCGGCGGCCAGACACTGGAACTCCTCCTGCCTGTCCTCAAGGACGTCCGTGCCAAGGGCACACTCACCCCCGACGGACGGAGGACAGGCAGACTCAGACTCAGCGACAAGACTAGCAGCGTAGTCTAGGCGACAGCGAGCAGCAAAGTTGACGAGCTCACTGACAAGGGCAGACGCAGCAGAAGACTCGAAAGAAGGGTCAGTGACAGCAGTAGCAAGAAGACGCGTGACAGTAGGACTGGCAGCACGAAGAGAGTCCGACTCCGGGTCCGCAAGAGCAGGAAGAGAGGAAGCAGGAGGAGAAGGCAAAGGGGCACGCAGAGGAGCAGTGGACGGACGCAGAGACATCCGGTGTGTGCCAGGGACAGGAGGAGGACGCTGACGCGAACCGCGACCACTAGCGCGCGCAGTACGAACAGGCGACGCAGGACGAGACGCAGGCTCACGACGCTCAGTAAGACCTCCAGTCGGACCAGCGTAGGGAGAAGGAGCAGGCAAAGGGGAGGCAGGCTGTAGCTGTGACTGTGACGAGACAGGCTGTGGACCCTCTAAGGGAGGAGGAGGAGGACCAGGAGAAGGTGGAAGACCAAGAACCTGGTGCAGGAGCGGAACGAAGTACGGCCGGGGCCGCGTGGCGACGCCAGAAACAGCAGGGACAGCACCAGTACCCCCACCAGGAGTACCCGCTCCAGCAGCACCTCCAGTAGCTCCAGAACCTCCAGCAGCACCACCAGGAGCACCGCCAGTCGGACCTCCAGCGGCAGTCTCAGCGTCAACACCCTCAGCAGCACCAGCTCCAGGAGAACCCTCAGACCCAGCAGCTCCAGCACCCACAGTACGAGCACCGCCGGGACGCTCGGCAGCAGTACCCTCTGCAGCCGAAGAACCTCCAGCACCAGCAGCACGCCTCCAGTGTCTGGCAAACCACTCACGTAGCTCCTGAGGGGAGAGTGGCTCTCGGCGAGACGAAGCACCTCCAGGCGGAGCACCCCCAGTCTCAGCACCCCCAGGCTCAGCACCCCCAGGCTCAGAACCCCCAGGCTCAGTACCCCCAGGCTCAGCACCCTCACGCATAGCACCCCCAGGCTCAGCACCTCCAGGCACAGCACCCCCAGGCTCAGCACCCCCAGGCTCAGCACCCCCAGGCTCAGCACCCCCAGGCCCTGCACCCCCAGGCTCAGCACCTCCAGACTCCGCACCCCCATGCTCAGCACCCACAGACGTAGCACCTCCAGTCTCAGCACCCCCAGGCTCAGCTCCCGCAGCCGCACCAGAGTCACCAGTGACCTCGACAGGCTCGACCGCGTCTACCTGGGACACACCTGAAGGGGCAGGACCCTGAGGGGGAAGGGGGTCTACCGGGGGGGGACCTGGTACCAATAAGAGCGGGGGCGGGGGGAGGGACGGAGTGCGGTAGGGGAAGAGGCGGTAGTAGGGTACCGACTCGTCGAACGTGACGTCCTGGGAGGACAGAACACGTCGAGAGGTGGGGTGGTAGAACTGCCACCCGGGGGCGTCGGGGGGGAACCCCAGGAAGACGCAGGGAGCAGCGCGAGGGGACAGCTTGTCCGCAGACAAGTCGCGGACAAACGCCCGAGATCCCCAGACCCGGAACGCCGACGCATCGCCAACCTTCCCCGTCCACAGCAGCGCTGGGGAGGTCTCCGGCCTGGAGACCCTGGGGTGGAGGTTGATCTGATGCGCTGCGTACCTGACCGCAAACGGCCACAGAAAATGGGGGGCAGCCGCATGCATCATGGACGTACGAGCGACGTCCATGACCATGCCAATGCGGCGCTCTGCAATCCCATTCTGCTGCGGGGAGTCCGGAAGCGTGAAGGTCTGGCGGATGCCTCGCACACGACAGTAGGCACGCAGAAGGCCAGAGGAGAACTCTCCGCCTCTGTCCGAGTGCAGACGCAACACAGGAAAGTCCGAGCCAAAGCTCTGCCTCAACTGGAGACGAGCTGCGCGGATCCAGTCGATCAGCACCTCAGTGACATCACCCTTGCTGCGCAAGGGGAAGAATGTGGTGTAACGCGAGTAGTCGTCAACCACCAGCAGGAAGTAGCGCTCGTGACCGAGTCCACGGACGCGGGCAGGGCCCCACACGTCCATGTGAAGCGTCTGCAACGGAGCCTCTGTCGGAGGAAACTGGGAGGAGTGAGGGGCAGCACGCTGGCGCCCCTCGACACAGGGGACACAGGCAGGGCCAGGGCCCTGAGGAAGGGGAGGTAGAGACCGGGGGAGACCAGACACAAGAAGACGGGAGGCCATGCCTCTGAGCTGAAGCAGAGAGGGGTGGCCAAGACGGTGGTGCCAGAGGAGGGTCTCGTGAGACAGACGGCGACACGAACAGGGGGCAGACTCAGGACCAGACCTGGACGCTGCAGCAAACACCTGACCAGACGAAGGGACTCTACCAGACTCAGCACCTGGAGGAGAAGCAGTGGTCAGTGTGTACAGGCTCGACCCTGGCTGACGTGTTAACGTAGCCAGGTGACGACCCGTGCTAGCCTCCGTGCAGTGCGTCACTCGCTGACTAGCAGGGGTGAACTAGTGGACTCCCCCATCCTGTAGGTCAGCACCACTCACCAAGTTCGTAGAGAACGAGGGGAGGTAGAGACCAGACAGGGTGCCAGAGGGAGCCGCCGGACACGGGAGGACCGTGGAGAAACGAGCCAGGACAAGACCCCAGAGGGGTCAGCCAGGGAAACCGCAACCGGCCGACTAAGCGGCGTAAGTGTGGTGCGGTCGTGAAAGAAAGAGCGAGATGCTCCAGAGTCAAGAGTGAAGGTGTGGGAGGCCGAAGCCGACGCAGTACCTGAGAGCGCAGACGCACTAGTACCTGAGAGAGCAGTCTCACGAGTACCTGAGAGTACAGACGCACTGGCACCTAGAGCAGAAGCCTCACCGGCACCTGGAGCAGCAGTACCAATGCCCGGGTCGTGCGGGAAACACCGGTAACAGTCACCCTCCTCACTAATGGTCACAGCATACATGGCAGCAAGGATAGCATCAAAATCAAGATCAAAGATAGCTACACCAGCCCTAGACAGCTCTCCCCAGCGGGGGATCTCCGCGGCCTCCGGGAACTGCTGACGCCAAGCGTCTGTCAGGCGGCCAAAGCAGCGCTGGGCGGGGTGGGCACCCCCACACTGCTCTCCAGTGCGGTCGCCAGTGCGGAGAACGTAGGTGCAGGGACCAAAACCCCCACCGCGCTGACGCTGCGTGTACCACTCACGGAGCTGCTGAGGGGTGGGGACGTCGCGAGAACGCTGCTGCTGCTGCTGCTGTTGGCGCTGACCGCCACCAGTGCCGCTCCGCTGCGAAGCCCCACTCCGACCACCTCCACCTCCGCCACCCCCGCCTCCGCCTCCACCGCCCCCGCCTCCACCTCCACCGCCGCCACCTCCGCCACCTCCGCTACCACCGCCACCGCCGCCGCCACTCCCGCCGCCACCGCTGCCACTAGCACCCCCACCCCCCACTACCACCTCCACCGCCACCCCCACTCCCTCCGCCGCCTCCACCTCCACCGCCACCGCCCCCACTGGCCCCACCCGCTCCCTTGCCCCCCATGCCCTTGCCAGAGCGGCGTCTCCCGCTAGGGGCAGACGCCGCACCGACCGACTCAAGACCAACGAGGTCGGCCGCAGCGGCAGAGGCGACAGAGGGCAGGAGAGGGGAAGGAGAACACCCCTCAAAGATGGGGGCGCGGGGGTCACCTCGAGAGGCTCCTACAGCAACTATGCTCTTCTTTGCTGCAAGAAGGGCCTTCTCGAGGCTGTCGACTGTGAGGGTGGTGGGACAGACCGCAAGGAAGTGGTCCCGGACTACACGAAGGGAGTCAGGGAGGCGAGTGACTAGGAAGTAGAGAGTGATGTACATGGGGGGGGGGTTCTTGGCGCAGAAGTCAGCAGGAAGTGCAGCGCGGTAGCGAGTGTCACTAGTGCGGAGGTGCGTGATGAGATCAGCGACAGTGGGAAAGGCGGCAAGGTCAGGGAAGAGGAAGGGGAGCATGAGGCGGCTCAGTGCAGCAGTGGCAGGGGAGGAGTAGCGCGCAACTACAGCGTCGTACAAGGTCTGAGCACTCTTGTACTGGCTAAAGTGCGCGCGCTCAGCGGTAGGCAGGTGGCGACGCACAGCAAGACGTGCAGCAGCATCGCGCGTGGCCCACTGAGAGCGAACAGTGGCGTCAGCATCAGCAGCAGGGGCAGGGACAGCGCCAGAGGTGAGGTCAAAGAGAGACAGACTGTCGGCCCTGTCGCACTATAAAAACAGCTGCAGGTCGTCGAGCCAGACCTCAAAGTCAATGGCTCGACCCTCAGCGTCAAAAGCGAGGACACTGGGTGTAGCCATGACGACGACAGTGGCGCAGTGCAAGCAGTAGGGGAAGGGTACGCAGTGACAGCAGTGCAGTGCTCACCGGGCAGGGCAGGTCGGGCGGCTCGGGAGGAAGGTCGCCAGACGACACGGCCGCTAGGCTGCTGGGCGGCTCGGCTCCCGGGCGGCTCGGCTGCTGCTGGGCGGCTCCGCTGCTGCTGGGCGGCTCGGCGGCTCCTGGGCGGCTCGGCTGCTGCTGGGCGGCTTGGCTGTTGCTGGGCGGCTCGGTGGCTCCTGGGCGGCTCGGCTGCTGCTGGGCGGCTCGGCGGCTCCGGGCGGCGCGGCTGCTGCTGGGCGGCTCGGCTGCTGCTGGGCGGCTCGGCTGCTGCTGGGCGGCTCGGCTGCTGCTGGGCGGCTCGGTTGCTCCGGGCGGCTCGGCTGCTACTGGGCCGCGTAGGTAGGGCGGCCGCGCGGGCCGCAGGTAGGGCGGCGGGTAGGCCGCAGGTAGGGCGGCGGGACGGCCGCAGGTAGGGCGGCGGACGGCCGCAGGTAGGGCGGCGGGTAGGCCGCAGGTAAGGCGGCGGGTAGGCCGCAGGTAGGGCGGCGGGACGGCCGCAGATAGGGCGGCGGACGGCCGCAGTTAGGGCGGCGGGTAGGCCACAGGTAGGGCGGCGGGACGGCCGCAGGTAGGGTGGCGGACGGCCGCAGGTAGGGCGGCGGGGAGGGCGCAGGTAGGGCGGCGGGTGGGCCGCGACTGGTTGGCGGGGCCGCGACGGAGTGGCGGGGCCGCTCGAAAGGGTGGCGGGGCCGCGACGGAGTGGCGGGGGCCGCGACAAAGGGGCGGGGCCGCTCGAAGGGGGTGGCGGGGCCGCTACGGAGTGGCGGGGCCGCGCTTAGGGGTAGCGGGGCCGCGACTGGGTGGCGGGGCCGCGACGGGGCGGCGGGGCCGCTAGCGAGGGCGGCGGGTGGGCCGCTAAGGTAGGGCGGCGGCCGGGCCGCGAGTAGGAACAGGGCGACTCGAAGGGTCGCTAAAAAAAAGGCGCGCGCCTCGGGCGCGCTTCGGTGGGCCCTAAAGAACAGTCCCTAGGATGGGACCTGCTCTGATTCCATGTGAAGAAAGGAACGTGAATGAATTGACTACGAACGAGGTGAGTACAAATAGGAAACCCTAATTGGTTTGTACCCCCTATGGGATACCCCACTATAGCCTACACAAACAAGTAAGCTATAATGTTCTGACAAATCACGCCCGAGTAAAATATCGGTTCCGTCGAGGGTCGTTGCGAGCATTTCCTGGCTAAACGTGAAGTTACCCCCACATCGAATCCGAACCGCGTTCCCGTATCGCCAGCGGCGTGCCGTCTACCAGTCTTGCGTCGATCTCAGGTAAAAATCTGTCCAGTGGAAGTCGCAGTTTTCGTGCTGTGGCAGTGTTGATGAGGCTGTGGCTGGCTCCCTCGTCTACGAAGATTTTAACTAAGTCCGTCCCGATTTTCCCACTAAGCAGTATGGGGGTGTCTACCGTAGAACCCTCCTTACTCGGCCGGGTGTGGTCGATTGCGTGAACCGGCACAATCACTCGGTGAGGGTCGGTTGGGTCGGGCGAGCGGCGTGACTTGTCAGTAGAGGGCCCGTCTGCTACTGACTCCCAGCGTTTCCCTGCTGCTTGGTCTGTTTCCGCTGCTCAACTTCCCCCTTTCCCTTTGCGTTTTCCGGGCATTCGCTCTTGCGATGTCCCGGCCGATTGCACGCAAAACCGCGCCCTTTGACCGGTGCGGCAGCGGCGTTTGCGGCAACGGCACGTATCGTGGCGCCCTCGTTCGTCCCACGAGGCCGATGTCCCAATGGCTACTTCCGTAGGACCCTGGTCTCGGTCGGCGGAAGAAATCAAGTTTCTCCGCCATAGCGAGAATTTCTTGAAAGTCGGTGACGCCGCGAAGCTGGATTTCCTGAGCGATGTCCTGCTTCAGGCCGCCGATGTAGCGGTCGATGCGCTCGCTCTCGTGCATGTATCCCACCTGCTCGCATAGCGCCAGAAATCCGCTCGTGTAGTCTTGGACGGAACCGAGTTGGCGCCAAGTGCGGAGCTTCTGTCGCGCCGCGATCGAAGCCGCGATTGGCTCGAAACGAGCACACAGACCTCCGCACCACGCGTCCCACGTGCGATATTGGGGCACCTCCACGAAATACGACGGCGCCCATGGTCTGGTTTGTCCTTCCCTTGTCGGTAGAGTCGCGTAGTCTACCGGCTTCGTGACGATGACGCGCCACCAGTCCATGGCGGGTCCTCGCAGCAACGACACGGCGTAACGAATCTTCGCCGTATCTTCCGAGACGTAGTTCGCGTCGAAGAAAACGTTCAACGTGAAGAGCCACGCCTGAACGGTAGGACCACCTCGCTGACTTGGGTCAAAGCATGGCGGACGCTGCAGCTTTAGCGGCATCGGCGACGGAAGAGTTGATCCGCTGGCCGGCACTGAAATCGTGACTTGAGGCTGAGTCCTGGCCGCATTCGTCGCGTCGGGGTGTGTCGTGCCGTGGTCGTCGTCTCCGTCATGGCGGACGACGCCATCACTTGCGGCGCTCGCGGGTTGCCCCACACTTCCGTGCTGTGATGTTTGTGGTGCGGGCTGAATCGGAGTGCCAGATGCTTGGGATTGTGCTCGTGTGAGGTCGTTTTGCAGGGACGAGCGCTCTGCCGTCAGCGTCGCGATTTCCTTGGCGCTCTCGCGGATTTGTCGTAGCAGATCGTTCAAGTGCTCCTGCGTGAGATTTGTGACGTCGATGTGTTCAGCCATGTCGAAGGGCGTCGGCTCGTCTTAGTCTAGGCGTTGTCGTGGCTGCACGCGTTTACGAGAGAACGCGAGGACAGCAGCTCTTAGGTGCTAAGGTACGTGAGTCCCTTCGAGTGAAAATCAAAAGTTGATTTCCTGGGGTGCGGAGATGCGCGGTCCGAAAGAAAGGGGCACTGAAAACCAAGTGTTATGGGTGCAATGAATCGAAGTAGCGAGAATTGCACTAAGGTGTCAAACGAGTACAAAGATGTGAGCGAAGGCATGAGCGAACATTTATACGTGAAACATGCAAACGGTAACGCGGTGCGTGCGAGCTAGCTAGTGCTATGCTAGTAGCGAGGCTCGGGCTAGTCCCGAAGCGTAGGCCGACACGGCCGGGCCAGCAGTGCGAGGTTTGGCAATTTAACAACTTTGGTGGCCGGATTGCAGGCTGGTACGGAAAAGTTGTTAAAATTGCAGTTACTGAAGTAGTTTAGTACGTGCGACGGGGTCGCACTTTTGACGGGGATATTTCTCATTTGACGCGATCACAAATTCTGTCGCTGGGCGATACCGTGCGTCGTCGCAGGCGTTTGTCGCACACTGTGTCAACTACTTGGCCGTTTTGGAGTCGACTCGGCGTCGTTTTCGTGTTGACTTTTTAAACGGCCATCAAATTCGTAAATTTTTAACGAAATTTGCGACGGTCGCCACTTGACTTACAATTGTCGCAAACTGGTTACCTTCGCAGATAAGGCCCGACGGATTGTGGCCGAATTTTGGGAGTTTGCGCTTTAACACGCCCTTTGGAGTTCGGTTTCCTACGGCCTGTTAAAAAGACTTCTCCATGGTTGCTTGTAAGGGAACAAGTTTATGTGGTGATGTACTTTCTTTAGTTTCCTCAGTAAGAATGCTAAAAAACAACTTTGTCAAGACACTACTGCTGTACCGAGCCTCTCTGGTGGTGTTACTCGTTATAGTTCGTGAAATTGTACTCGTTACTGAACAAGCAATTATGTCCACTGGTCCTGCTTCGTTGGCAACGACAGCCAGTGAAAAGGTTCGTCGTCGATTATCAGCGCGGCGCGATTACGACCGACGCCCCTCTACCGTACCGGCCCTAACATTGATGAAGAATCCCAGGTGTGAACCTTTGCTTCGTGATCGAACCAAGGCTCCCATAATCACAGGAGCAACGCTGCCCGCGGATTGGGCTGATTCGGATTCACCCAATAGAGCTTGTTCCCACGTCTTGCCAAACCTGAAACAGCCACAGAATAAGCCTTGTCATCGGAAAATACAGCACTGCATTCTTGCTCTTCCCATTTTAGCTGAAAGCACTGCTTTATGCGTCGGGAGAAGAACCAACGGAGGTCCGTATTTTGTTGTGGTTCTCCTTAGTGTCGTGGCGGTCGGAGGTTTGAGCTGATTTTACTCCGCACAGTAGCATTATCGGCACGATCAAAGCCGTACGTCTGGTTCTGATCCGTCAACGCATCACAAAAGCCCCAACGCGACCCAAATTTGTGTTAGCGAAAGCTTTCCATTACTAACTTGGATTGCGAAGCTTCGATCAGTAGATTCAAGCATGGGTCGCGGAGGTCAGGGGGTCGCTGCTGTGAACCGTCGAGCGGTCAGCGAGGCACCGGCTGCTGATGCGAAGAGCAACAAAAACAAGAACAAGATTGCTCGAGCTCCATCGGTGAGTGTAGTTCTGAAATTTGTTGAGACATCTTAAAATTCAACAAGAATATCGCTCGAGCTCCTTCTGTGAGTCTAGTTCCGGTATCTGTCCCGTTTCGTCAGTCAGATTCCTGGAGAACGTTACAGATAACCATGGAAATAAGTCCCATTCGGTTCGATGCCGTTTGACTTTGTCAGAACAAACCGATTCGTGGACTAATCATTCAGAACAGTCAACTGTTGAAGACTTTAAGGTGTTTGATTGATCCTAATGCCATCTTAACCTCCTGTGAAATCAGGCCCATTCACCACAGCTGATCAGCCGTCGTTCCAGCTCCATTCCCTTCCTCGCCAAAACCCCATATCTATCTCACACTCATTTCCATTTGTCTCCCTTCTCCCCTTCCGCCTCCAGGCAAAGCCCCCCTTCACCCCTGGGTGACCTGCGCCGAGCCATCCCCCCCCCACTGTTTCCAGCGCTCCCTCCTGCGCTCCTCCGCCTACCTCCTCATCCGTCTCAAACTAAGTTCCAACGGCTTTCTTTCTCCCCTTCTCTCTGGCAGGCAAAGCCCCCCTTCACCCTGGGAGATCTGCGCCGAGCCATCCCCCCCCACTGTTTCCAGCGCTCCCTCCTGCGCTCCTCCGCCTACCTCCTTATCGATCTCGCCTTCGCCGCCTTATTCCTCTACGCCACCACGCGCTTCGACGACATCCACCAACTCGTAGATCCGGCCGTTGAATCGCGCCTCCCGGCGCATCTCCAGCCGTACGTTCGGCCGGCGGTGTCGGTGATCCTGTGGGGGCTGTACACGTGGCTGCAGGGGTGCGTGTGCACGGGCCTGTGGGTGATCGCGCACGAGTGCGGCCATGGCGCGTTTTCGGACTACGCGTTTGTGAATGACACGGTCGGCATGGTGGTGCACTCCTGGCTGCTCGTGCCTTACTTCTCCTGGTGAGCCTTGAAATCCTTCCGGCTGGGATATGAACCTTTCTAAGAGAAAGAAGAGCCTCTGGAAGTGTTCTTTGACGATTTCTTCCGATTGGGATGAGCTCTCTCTTAGTGATTGGCATACGTTAAATGTCAGGTCGAAATCTCTGGTAACTTCAGAAGGACTTGGGCGAGGTGGCATGCCTATCTTGAAGTTTGAACGGACAGAGACCAACGAAACCAACCATGTTAAGAATAGCTCCAAATTATACTTCATCAATGGATCCTTTTGCTTCTGCTTCCTCCCGACACATTTCCCCAAGGCGTTTTTTGAGTCGACTATGTCGTTCACAGAACCCCTGGGCCCTTCTCCAGCCCCACCAACATCTCCCATCCAACCAACTCAAACCCTTTCTCAGCTTCCTCACGCATTAGCTGACCTGATTGTCACCACCCGCTTTCTCCCGTGCTGAGGAGATCCAGTCCCGAGCGCCCACCGTCCTTTTGAGTCGACTCAAAAGTCACCTCGAGCGCCCACCGTCCTGTCTCCGCCCTCCTTGTTGTTGCGCCGGTAATACAGCCACCACCGCCACCACAGCAACTCAACACTCACCACCCTCTTCTCCTCCCCTCTCCTCCTCTTTCGCCTCCCCCTTCCTCTCCCCCCCTCCCCCCTCACCTCATTTTTGGTTGCGCAGGAAATACAGCCATCGCCGTCACCACAGCAACACGGGCAGCCTGGAGAATGACGAGGTACGTGCTTGCATGCATAAGTAGGGTGGTTATAAGGGGGTGGGATTGCATGCGCACAAGTAGAGTGGTTATAAGTGGGTGTAATTACACTTGCAAGGCTGCAAGCTCGTAATGGTTCGAGTTGATGGTTCGAGATAAACTCACAACTCTCATTCTCAAAGCTTGATTGGTGACTTCTGTCGAAACGTCTCAAATGCCCATCTGTTGCACTTGTCGACTCAAAACTGAACCGACGGATTTCTGTTTCCCTCCCCAGCCCAGGCGTTCGTGCCCACACGAAAGGAGCTGCTGGCGGCAGACACGTAGTACCTGCAGCACCCCTTTGGTCTCCAGCACCCCTTTGGTCTCCAGCACCCCTTCCATCCTATTGACTTGTAACGTCATTCTCCTTCACTTGCGTCCCTCCTCCTCCCCACGCCAGGTGTTTGTGCCGGCGCGAAGCGGGCAGTCTCAGAGTACCTGCAGCACCCCTTTGGGCGCGTGCTCTCCATCTTCATCACGCTGACTCCCTCTTGCCCCCATTCCCTCTCCCCACGCCAGGTGTATGTGCTGCACGTAGGGAGCAGCTGGGGCCAGTGTCGGAGTACCTGCAGCACCCCTTTGGGCGCGTGCTCTCCATCCTCGTCACGCTCACCCTCGGCTGGCCGCTCTATCTCCCTGCCCTGCCCCTTCCCACTTTCCCCCTCCCTCTTGCCCCTCTCCGCCCACATCCTCCCACCTCCCTTTTCCTCCTGCCTCCTCCCCACGCCAGGTGTTTGTGCCGGCGCGAAGGGAGCAGCTGGGGCCAGTGTCGGAAGTACCTGCAGCACCCCTTTGGGCGCGAGCGTGTGAGCGTGCCTGTTCCAACACTTTTCTGTTATCTAACCTTCACGCCCACGCCAGGTGTTTGTGCCGGCGAGAAGGGAGCAGTTGGGGCCAGTGTCAGAGTACCTGCAGCACCCCTTAGGGCGCGAGTGTGTGAGCGTGCCTGTTCCAACACTTTTCTGTTATCTAACCTTCATGCCCACGCCAGGTGTTTGTGCCAGCGAGAAGGGAGCAGCTGGGGCCAGTGTCAGAGTACCTGCAGCACCCCTTTGGGCGCGAGTGTGTGAGCGTGCCTGTTCCAACACTTTTCTGTTATCTAACCTTCACGCCCACGCCAGGTGTTTGTGCCGGCGAGAAGGGAGCAGCTGGGGCCAGTGTCAGAGTACCTGCAGCACCCTTTTGGGCGCGTGCTCTCCATCTTCATCACGCTCACCCTTGGCTGGCCGCTCTATCTCGCCTTCAACGTGTCGGGCCACGAGTACAAGGGCGTGCATGCCAACCACTTCAGCCCCTACTCGGGATTTTCTGCGATCGGGAGCGGTTCTGGGTGGTTGTGAGCGATCTGGGGCTGTTGGGAGTGCCTCGGGTGCCTGTACTCCCTCGGCTCGGCCTATGGCCTCGCATGGGTGCTTAAGGTACGTACGGCTTTGGCTCAGCTGTAGAATGGTTTCAGCATGGCAATCGCGTATCAGGGAGGGAATCTACAGAGAGTGCTCGGGTGCCTTAATCCCTCGGTTCTGCCTATGGCCTTGCATGGGTGCCTAAGGCCTTGCATGGTTGCCTATGGCCTTGCCAGGGTGCCTAAGGCCTTGCATGGGTGCCTATGGCCTTGCAAGGGTGCCTAAGGCCTTGCATGGGTGCCTATGGCCTTGCAAGGGTGCCTAAGGCCCTTGCATGGGTGCCTATGGCCTTGCATGGGTGCCTAAGGCCTTGCATGGGTGCCTATGGTCCTGCATGGGTGGGTGATCAAGACACGGATGCAGCATGGCTGTGTGTGTCCGCAGTATCGCCCCTCGCCAGGTGCATGTGTGTCCGCAGTATCGCCCCTCGCCAGGTGCATGTGTGTCCGCTCTTCCTAGCGAACATGTTTCTCGCACTCACCACGCTGCTGCAGCACACACAACCACCCTTACTAACGCTGCCCTCTTCCAGACTCGCAATCCTTTCCCACACCCCAGATTCCTCCCCCCTCGGCCCTCTTCAGGTCTATGTTTGTCCTCTCCTGATAGTGAACATGTTCCTGGTGCTCATCACGCTGCTGCAGCACACGCACCCCGCCCTACGATGCCGTACAACTGTGCCCCTTCCCCGCCCCCGCCCTTTTCCTTCACCTTAATTCCTTCGCCCTCTCTCCGTTGCAGGTGTATGTTTGCCCTCTCCTCATAGTGAACATGTTCCTGGTGCTCATCACGCTGCTGCAGCACACGCACCCCGCCCTGCCACACTTCGACTCGACCGAGTGGGAGTGGCTGCGAGGGGCGCTCGCCACTGTCGACCGCGACTACGGCTACCTCAACATCGGTCAGTGAGCCCACAGTGCAGTGCGGTGCCGTGCGGTCTGGCGTAGTTCGGTGTGGTACGGTGTGGTGTCTAAGTCATTCATGCCTTGCCCACTAATCTCACCCTGGTTCTCCCTCGTTCCCCGCCCCCACTCCTCCCTCCTCCTTCATTCCCGTTACCCCACTTCCCCTCCACCACACACAGTGCACCATCTCATTGCGGACACCCACGTGGCACATCACATATTCTCCACCATGCCTTTTCTTCACTAACTGAGCAACACCATCCCTGCTGTATTTTCCCTCGGCCTCACACCCTCTTCCCCACTTTCCCCTCCCCCCGCCACGCCACCGCCACCAGTGCACCATCACATTGCGGACGCGCACGTGGCACATCACATATTCTCCACCATGCCTCTTTCTAACTATCTGAACAACCCCTTGCCTGCTGTATGCCCCCCTGCTCTCCCCCCTCTCCCTCTCCCATCCCCTCCCACCACCAGTGCACCATCACATCGCGGACACCCACGTGGCGCATCACATATTCTCCACCATGCCGCACTACCATGCGGAGGAGGCCACCCGAGCCATCAAGCCAATCCTAAAGGATTACTACCAGTTTGACGGCACTCCCATCGTGAAAGCCCTCTGGCGGGAGGTGTCACAGTGCGTCTGTGTGAGTACCTACCAACCCTTCTGACCATTCCATTGTAGTCGTGCCTATTCATTAATCGCCTCAAACAGAGGAGGCAAGAGGAGGCCACACGAGCCATCAGGCCAATTCTTAAGGAGTACTACCAGGTCTGCCAGTTTGACGGCAACGCCTATCGTGAAAGCGTTCTGGAGGGAGGTGTCGCAGTGCGTCTGTGTGAGTACCAATCCTCCAGACAATCGTAGTTGCGCCTATCGTTGAGGTGAGGCGCCTTAAAGTGAAGAGGCCACACCTGCCATCAAACCCATGATCAAAGAGTACCACCAGTTGGTGGTGAAAACGCTTGTGGCGGGAGACTTTTGAGTCGACTCAAAAGTCGACTTAAGGTGAAGGGGCTGCACCTGCCATCAAGCCCATGCTCAAGCACTACCACCAGTTGGTGGTGAATCACACGTGGTCACCCTTGGTCACACGTGGTCACATTTGGTCACACTTGGTCACACTTGGTCACACGTGGTCACACTTGGTCACACGTGGTCACACCTGGTCACCGTGGTCACACTTGGTCACACGTGGTCACACTTGGTCACACGTGGTCACACTTGGTCACACTTGGTCACACGTGGTCACACTTGGTCACACTTGGTCACACGTGGTCACACTTGTGTCACACGTGGTCACACTTGGTCACACGTGGTCACACTTGGTCACACGTGGTCACCGCTGTGGTGGGAGGTGTCTCGTCTCAGTGTGTCTGTGTTAGTATTGGCACTTTGGGACCTTTCCTTCCATTACCTACTGACTTGTTTCATCACTTGCTCCATTCCCTAACCACCACCTCGCCTCCCACAATTGCTCCCTCATGCTTCCAACCTTTCTCCCTCGTTTCCTTCCTTTCACTCCGCCATCCTTCCCCATCTTTCCCCCCTACTCCTGCAGGTGGCTCCTGATGCAGATGGGCCTAAGGGCGTGTACTGGTATTCAAACAAGCTCAAGTAAATCAGCAACTAAGCTTCTTCCCTCATGAATCTAGTCTCTCTCTGCCACCCATCTCTCCCCATCCTCCCACCCAACCTTCTCTTTGCAGGTGGCTCCTGACGCAGATGGGCCCAAGGGCGTGTACTGGTATTCAAACAAGCTAAAGTAAATCAGCAACTAGGCTTCTTCCCTCATGAATCTCCTCTCTCTGGCCACCATCTCTCCCCATCCTCCCCCCACACCTTCTCTTGCAGGTGGCTCCTGACGCAGATGGCCCAAGGGCGTGTACTGGTATTCAAACAAGCTCAAGTAAATCAGCATCGTAGTAAAAAATTACATGCCCCGGGTTCAAAGAAGGGTTTTAACGAGCAGCAGGGGGTGGTGTGATAGTTGGGCCTGTTCTCTGTGACACATTATACATACCGTAATGGCAGGCACAGAGAAGTGTATTCACACTTTCTCTTTGCCTTGCCTAGTGTAAGGAAATTCCCCTTTTCCTTACTTCGCGTCCCTGCTCAACGCTTAAGTCACTTTGTCGCACCTCAGTCAGCACCGTTACCACTCACGACCATCGCATCATCATATCCCGCCCTCTTCAGCACATCGCATCCCGACCTCACGGCTCGGCTGGTAACCCGCGCTCGGGCCTACGCTCTCGACACTTTCCCAACCTCAGCCCCAGGCTCGTCGCGCGACAACCACAGTCCATTACCGTTACCACTATTGTTTCGCATAATATAAACCTTCGCTCATGCCTTCGCTCTATTGTACTTTTGCTTCGATAGTGCAATTCTCGTCTCGTTTCACTCAATTGCACTCGTAACACTTGGTATTCAGAGCCTACGATCTCATCTCGGACCGCATCCACCACCTTCGCTTCCCACTATCTCAATTTTTTGGGGGGGTAGACGTCTCTCAGCGACCACAGCACCGCCGCTCGTAGGTGCTCTCTCGCAAGCACGCTACGGCCACGACCGAGGCTCTCGCTGAGCTTGCCGACACCCACGCCATGGCCGACCTCACTCTCGCCACGTTGACGCAGGAGCAACTCGATCGTCTCGTGCGACAATTGGAGGATTCGGCGCTTGAAATCGCGACGCTCACGGCGGAACGTGACTCCGCTCGTCAACAGCAACGGTGAATGTTCCGACGACATCCACGCACCAACCAATGTTTTGTACATTCGGAGGAGCCGATTGTCATCTCATCCGGCACACCAACGCAACACAACAGCACGGGACAGCGCTCAGGCGCAGCCCAGTGACGGCGCAGCCCAACCGATGCCCGGCATGGGAGGGAACAGGAAGCACGCTAAGCCCACGGAGCCCCGAGAAGCCCCGTCGGAACGTGGATGTTTGCGACGACAAAGTGGTGAAAACGCCATGATGGCCCCCAATGCCACTCAAGCCGCCAACGCACATTTCGCCCTGCTTCGACCCAAGCCAAAGCGGGCGGCCCCGACAGTTCAATAATGGGTCTTCACGATGAATGTGTTTTTCGACGCCAACTACGTCGAGTCGGACGCCGCCAAGATTCGGTATGCGGTTTCACTACTCAGGGGCCCCGCCATGGACTGGTGGCGAGTTCAATCGTGACGTCGCCACGCGCTTACGAGCCACCGTCGTCACGAGGAAGGGCCCTCGGGTCCAGCGTCACCCTGGAGTTCGTTCTGCGAAACATGCCCAATACAGCACGTGGGTATGCGTGTGTGCGCAGGGCTTCGGGCGCGTTTTGAGCCGATCGCGGCTTCGATTTCGGCGCGTCAGAAACTGCGCACTTGGCGCCAGCTCGGGTCGGTTCAAGACCTACACCAGCGGTTTTCCTTGCACTTGCGAACAGGTCGGCTACATGCACGAGGCGGAAGCGGGTGGACCGTTACGTCGGAGGTGCTGAAGCCGGACATATCGCACGAGATAATGCTACGCGGGCTATCGAATTTCAACGAAATCCTCGCGCTCGCCGAGAAAATCGATATCCTACGCCGACCGAGACCGGGGGTCCTATTTCGGACATCGTCCTCGGGGACCGATTCGAGCACGCCACTGTACATGCCGTCGCAACGAATGCAGCTGCCACGCCATTTAGAGGGCGCTGCTTTGCTTGCAACCGGCCGGGCCATCGCAAGAGCGAATGTCCAGAGGAGCTAGAGGCGTCGAGGAGCATGAGCAGGGGAAGGAGGTCTCGGAGGCAGGGAAACGCCAAGCAGTCAGTAGAAGTTGGGCCAACTACTGACGAGACTGCCTGCTCGCCCAACCACACCGACCCTCACCGAGTCACAGTTACCGATTCACGCCATCGATCGGGCTCGGATGAATAAGGAGGGTACAGCGACGGATGCCCTGGTACTGATCTACGGGAAAATACAGGGTAGCAGCAGTGAAAATCTTCATGACGGAGGGGCAAGTCACAGCTTAGTTAATACTGCAACCGCACGGAGATTACAGTTAATACTTAACCGATGTTTACCTGAGATAGATGCACGCTTAGTCGACGGCACGCCATTGGCCATACGAGGAAAAAGTTGGAGCGAGTAAAAGTCCGCTGCGGAGGGAAACTTTCGGGTTTACACAGGAAATGCTCGCAACGACGCTGGATGGGCACGACATTTTACTGGAACGTGATTGGCTGCGACGGTACAACCCACGGATCGACTGGACAACGGGGAGCTGCACAGTGCGACAGTAACGGTAACTGGGTCGTCCTACCTCGCTGGCGGCCACCTGAATCTTCGACAGTCCAGGTCAACGCCATCACGATTGAAACGGGCTGTCGCTGCTGGAAGCCGACGTGTACGCAGTGGATATCGCAAGTGTAGAAAAAGACGAGCAGCAGAATGATTTAAAGAAACTGCTAGCAGCGTACCGACCGAATTACAGACACTACTGAAACGGTTCCCGGGGATATTTCCGGATGATTTACCACAGGGGCTGCCACCTCAGCGAGCGCACGACCACAGGATCCGAGCTAGAACCGGGGGCACAGCCAACAGTACAGCGGCCAATTTCGACTGACACAGCCGGAGCTCGACGAGTTAAGGAAGCAGTTAGATTACCTGTTAGAGAAGCAGTTTATTCGACCAAGCTCGTCACGTTCGCCGCACCCATACTGTTCACACCGAAAAAAAGACGGAGTTTTTTCGCATGTGCATCGACTACCGAGCGCTTAACCGAAGTAACAGTCAAATCGCGATACCCCATCCCCCGCGCCGACGAACTGATTGGACCAACTGCGAACAGCACGTGTCTTTCGAAAATAGATTTACGGGGAGGTTACCATCAGATTCGGGCTCGAACCATCGGACTGCGCAAAAACAGCCATTTAGGACTAGGTACGGGTCTTTCGAGTATACAGTAATGCCTTTCGGGTTGACGAACGCGCCTGCGACTTTTCAGATGACATGAACGAGGCGTTTAGACCACTTTTAGATAAATGCGTGATCGTTTACCTCGACGATATCCTCGTTTACAGTCGGGATAAGCAAGCAACACTTAGCAGATCTTGATAGCAGTTTTTAAGGTTTTAGAGGAACATCGGCTGCTCACCAAGGGCTCCAAGTGCGAGTTTTTTGGGGATAGGCTAGAGTTTTTAGGTCACGTCATTTCCGAGGCTGGGGTTTGAGATCGACCCAAAGAAGCTGGATACGGTAAAAAGCGTGGCGCCCCCCCGACAAACATCACGGAACTGCAGAGTTTTTTAGGGTTGTAATTACGTTCGACGGTTCGTGCCCTGACATGGCCACGTTTAACAGCCCCCCACTAACTGATTTACTGCGTAAGGGGGTCGCTTTTTACGTGGGGGGAGAAATAGCATGCTGCCTTCTTGCCCTAAAAAAACGTCCTCTGTTCACCACCCGTTCTACGTATCGCTGATCCCCACCGCCCTCTTCGAAGTGGTTACCGACGCAAGTGACAATCGCCATCGGAGCTGTACTGTTACAGGACTTCGGCAAACGGCCTCCAACCCATCGCCTACGAATCACGCAAACTACATCCGCCTGAGCGAAATTACCCGATACACGACCGCGAAATGCTCGCGATCGTGCATGCATTCAAAGTTTGGCGCTGACTATTGACTGGCGCAGACCGTGACAGTACGGACAGACCACCGATCTCTACATTACCTCCGCGCACAGCCCCACCTCAACCCACGACAGTAATTCGATGGCTCGATTTTCCTCGAGTCGAATTTTCACTATACGGTCACATACAAAAAGGAGCATCGAATATCGCCGACGCACTGACCCGCCCCCACTGCCCAGATCCCACGCGATACTACTCGCCAGACCAGCCCACTGCTTACGGCCTATTACCCACGGATATCTAAACAGACTCGTTCTTTACCGGAGGCAACTCACAGCAATTCGCAGCGGCAAAAGGAGGTCTATTACGTAAAACTGGAACACGACGCATCTGGGTACCGGATACACGCTACTGCGGGAACTACTGTTACAGGAAGCACACGACGGAGTTACCTCGGGACATTTCCGGGGTAGAAAAACACGCAGCAGCTGCAGCGGTACTACTACTGGCCAGAAATGTTGACCGATGCTGCAACGACACGTGGCATCGTGTCCCACTTGCCAGCTCATGAAGTCAAGCACGGAAGCGACCAGCGGGGGCAATTACAAACCCATCCCGCCTCCAGAGCGTGCTGGCAGCAGGTGACGAGGACTTCGTCACGGGGTTACCGACTGGACGAGTGGGAATGACGCGATCTGCGTCGTCGTCGATCGACTAACGAAAATGGTCATTTCGCAGCATGCAGGAAATCCATCACAGCCGAAGAAACCGCTCCGACTATTCATCTCCACCGTCGTACGACTGCACGGGATACCGCGTCGATCTATCAGCGACAAGGACACGAAATTTTACAGCAACTTCTGGAGGAACCTGTGGCAGCAGTTCGGCACGCGCTTACAGTTCAGTTCATCCTATCACCCGAAACCGACGGACAGACGGAACGGGACAAACTAGTACCAGGAGCAGCTGATACGAGCACGTGCGACGACCCGAATACGTGGGAACAGCAGCTGCCAATCATCGATGTTCGCATACAATAACGCACCATCAGCCACGACGCAACAGTCGCCGTTTTATTTTAAAATTACGGACAAGAACCAAACAGTACCCATGACACCGAATCCCGCAACCCCGTCCCACGCGCACAACAGTTCGCGAGATTCTGCAAGCAGACAGGACCCAGCGGCAGCAGAAGCAATCAAAAAATCAAACATCATCGCTAAACGCAACGCGATCGACATCGCAGACCCGTTACTTATCAGCCCGACGACCTCGCTTTTACTCGACACTCAGAACCTTCGCCTGCCCATCACTCCAAACCTTCGCCCCCGATATTGTGGGCCATTTCGCATCAGCCACATGATCACACCCGTCACCGCCCACCTCCTCCTCCCTGCTGACTGGTACGTCAGCCCGTCATTCCACGTCAGCCTACTTCGCCCTTACATCCCATCCCGAGCCAACTGCCACGAAACGCTCCAGCCAGCATGACACGTCCCCCAAATCCGAACCACTCATCACCCTGAAAAAATCCTCAGCCACCGAGTCCGCGACCCTCGGGGAGCCCGAAGGATAGAGTTCCTACTTCGCTGGGAAGGACCCGAACGCCCCACAGAAGACAACTGGTCCCCCTGGATAAATTGAGAACCACCCTGTCTTCCTCCGAGTATCTGCGAAGCCGAAATTTCCGCGACGTCCATGCGCTCTCGTAAGAGGGGCTCCCTTGGGGAGGGGGGTAGGTAGTGTAAGGAAAATTCCCCTTTTTCCTTACTTCGCCGTGTCCCTGCTCAACGCGTACGTCACTGAGCACCTCAGTCAGCACCGTTACCACTTCAACGACCATCGCATCATTCATTTATCCCGCCCTCTTCGCACATCGCATCCCGACCTCACGGCTCGGTGGTAACCCGTGCTCCGGGCCTACGCTTCGACACTTTCCCCAACCTCAGCCCCAGGCTCGTCGCGCGACAACCACAGTCCATTACCGTTACCACTATGTTTCGCTATATAAACCTTCGCTCATGCCTTCGCTCATTGTACTTTTGCTTCGATAGTGCAATTCTCGTTCGTTCACTCAATTGCACTCGTAACACCTCAGTTTCACTCCCCTTCCGTCAACCCCCAGTGTTGCTTTATATGGACAATTAAGCTAAAAGAAGACAATTACACTGGTATAAACAGCTCTGGAGGCGCCTAGAATGCTTCACCCATTTAGCGTCACATGATTGAAAGCCCCCCCCCCCCCTCTCATGTGGACCATGCCTCCTCTAGGGACCTAGGCCGCTCTCATGGGCAAACAACCCCCTCATGGGAACCAGGCCTCTCACATACAGACAGTGCCTCTCATCTCAAAGGTAACCAGGCATTTCTCATGTGGATTGTGCCTCTCTTACCGGGAAATGCGCCTCCAACATGCGCACCAGCGCCTCTCAGAATAAACCAGGCCTCTCTTGGGCTTTAGGATTTAGACCACGTGTTGCACAGGACCCCAACCACCACGGCCCTAATTCGTGGCTAAGTTACGGTAACTTGCTACAGCACCTTGTAGTACTATGTCCATATGCGATGGGTAAAGAGGGTTTGCTTACAGTTTCACATAAAGTCATAATCATCATCAGGACCGGCATAAGAGCCCTTATAGTCGTCATCTTCTGGCCTATCCACTGTCAACTGCTGCTTCTTGGCTGCAAAACTGACGAGCCACGCCGCACAGACAGTACACGGGAGACACGCATGCAACAGGGTGTACACACACCATGTTCAGGACATGGTCAGGGATAGAAAGGAACATGGGTCATGACTCATGATTCAGAAAGAATGAGCAAAACATCCGTTGCAGCACGTCAAAAATGTGCATTCAGTGCTGCATGTCAAACCACATCCATTCCATCCAAGCCCATCCTGAGTGCATTTCACGGCACACTGTGCATTCCATTCACGCACAATGTGCATTCATTCACGCACAATGTGCTTTCCATTCCACGCACAACTGTGCATTCCATTCACGCACAATGTGTCATTCCATTCACGCACAATGTGCATTCCATTCACGCACAATGTGCATTCCCATTTCACGCACAATGTGCATTCCATCACGCACAATGTGCTTCCACACCAACCCTTTTTCTCCATCTAACTCCACTGCTGCACCCAAATCAGCGTCCTCTGCCCTTCTCTCACCCATCTCCCCTCTTTCCCTTCACTTACCTCTCTTTTCTCCCACCTCACTCAGCTCCCCTCCTTTCTCTCCCTCTCTCCCCTCCCATCACTCCCTGCACTCACCGCCCTTCTTCTTGCCCTTCTCTGCTTCCTTCTCCGCCTTAGGCTTCTCATTCGCGATCACAGCAGCAGCAGCGCTGATCTCCTTGGCGTCCTTCCCCACAACGGACCCTCCACTCATCTCTCGACCAGCCCGCTAATCCCCCATTCCGCTCCCCATCCCAAACCTTCTACCAGCCATCATAGTGCGCCCCCACCACCAACCTCTCCATCACTCCTCCCTCTTCTCTCCCCCACTCACCGCCCCTCTTCTTCCCCTTCTCTGCCTCCTTCTCTGCCTAAGCTTCTCATTCGCGATCACCGCAGCAGCAGCGCTGATTTTCCTTGGACTCCTTCCCAACCAAAGGAGCTTCCACCTTTCTCCGGATGTTCTTGATCAGCGACACATAGTGAAAGCTTTTCTGCACTTGACGGGAGGGAGGAGGGAGGGTGAGGGAGGGAGCAAGAGCAGGCACACGAAGGCATGAGCAGCGCGCGACTTCTCTCATCTGATTGGTGTCCTTGCCCACCAGTGGAATTTCGGGGGAGGTCGAGGTGATAACGCTATAGAACAGTGAGTGGCATTTGAGAGGTCTTCTAGCAGATGACTGACGAGAAATGGTGAGAGAGAGAGAGAGAGAGAGAGAGACGAGAGAGAGAGAGAGAGATGAGATGAGAGAGAGAGACGAGAGAGAGAGAGAGGATAGTGGGACGTGGTGAAAGTGGAGAAGAATGGTGGCACCCGTGGCACCATTCGTATCACGAATTCCAACGATGTTTTCCTCCACGATACCAAATTTCCGCCGCTTACCGAGTGGGGAGTGATTCTGGCGGCAATCAGGTCTGCAAACTCGTTAAAGTCTGCCTCGCTTTTAGGTAGAAAGTCGTCCAGTGACCGCTCCGCCTCCTTTTCTTCCCACCAAACAGCTCCTTTGTTGCCTTAAAGTCGCTCTCCTCCACGAGCCTGTGTGAATATGCGCGGACAGGGAGAAGGGGGGAGGGGGGAGAGGGGAGGGAAGCGGGAAGAGGGGAGGGAGGAGAGGGGAGGTAGGATGTGGGAAGGAAGGGGGGAAAGAGGGGAAAGGGTGGTGTTGAAGTGACCGAAGCGGGAGTGGGGAACATGTGGGGGAGGAGGGTGGGGGGAGGGGGGTGGTGGGGCGGGTGTGGAGGGACAGGACGAAGGGACATGGGAAGGGGGGTCATGAAGTATCACAATTGCAACAGAGCTAAAGAGAGGCGTACTCTAAGCTCACCCTCACCATTGCAGTCTGAATTTCTCGACCTGAGGGTCCACAAGCACTCTATCATCCACCTCCTCCTCCTCTCTCGCTCATCCCCCCACTTTCCTCTTCCCCCCACTCCCAACCAGACACACAAATACACTCACTCTGTCCTTCTCACCGCTGCTGTCTTCACTTCTTGGCCATCTGCAAGCACTCCATCATCCACCTCCTCTTCCCCGTCCCCCTCCCCTTCTTCCCCCCCTCTCCCGCCCCGCCACCCTCCCTCCCCTTCTGCCCTTCCCTTCCAAACACACAACCAACAAACACCACTCTCCTACTCCCCCCTTCCCTGCTCCTCTCTCAACCGCTTCTCTCACCGTTGTTGTCTTAGCTTCTCCGCTACAGGGTCTGCGAGCACTCCATCATCCACCACCTCCGCTTCTAACCCCCCCACCCTCCCCCCTCCGGCACACGCCCAACAGCAGACACACACTCGTCCCCACTCTCCTTCTCACCGTTGCTGTCTTAGCTTCTCCGCTACAGGGTCTGCGAGCACTCCATCATCCACCTCCTCCTCCTCCTCCTTCTCCTTGCCCTTGCCCTTGTCCTCCGCTTTCTTCTTCTTCTTCTCGCCCTTGGGCTTCGCCTGCACGCCACCAGCCATCCAACAGCATCATCACCAGCACACCAACAAACCCGCAGCACACCAGCAACCAGCAGAGCAATAACACACCACCGCACCAACACACCAGCACGCCAGCACAACAGCACACCAGCGATCAAACACCAGCACTGCAACACCAGCACTCCAACACCGGCATACCAGCACCAGCACCAGCACATAATCCGAGACACACGGTGGAAGCTGCTACTGAAACGGCACAACAGCAAGCGCCAATGTACACCTTGTAAACGCCAACCTCTCTCAGCAACTCCTCAACAAAACGGCAAAAAAAAAGGCTAAAATGCGAAAAATCAAGACGCGGAAAAGTCGAGGGCGAGGGGGACTGACTGAGGCGGTGGTGGTGGGGGCCGGTGCTTCTTCCTCCTCTTCCTCGTCCTCCCACGATGACTTCACCGGCTCTTTCGCCACCACGACTGGCGGCGGCTCAAAGTCGTCAGCATCTGCGCGGAAGTGAAAGACGGGGGGGGGGGGGGGGGGGGGGGGGGGGAGGAAGGGGAGGAGGGAGGGGAAAGGAAACGGTTGAGGGGCGAAGGTGGGGTGGGTGGGGAAGGGGGAGAGGAGGACGCGATGAACGGGAAGGTGAGAAGAGATAAGGGGGACGAGGGATAATTGAAGGACGAAATTTTAAACCCGAAATCATTCACTGGTTTTTATGGTTTTAGAAACGGGATGGCGAGTACGCTACGGACAGGAAACAAGTTTGCGAGCGACGCACAATAAGAATCAGCACGGTACTCCAGCAACCATTATCAAAGCTACAAGCAATGAATACCCACCAGGATCACAACCATACAGTTCTAAGGACCAAAGTCGACGGAAGGAAATGCTACGAAGAGAGGTGTCGAACCAATAGGGACTAATCACGAACCAATTGATAAGGATCATGCAGACATTCCAATTACGACCTTGAACGACCACAAGTCGAGCTGAACATTCATATTCTGGCTTAGATCGTGCATTCCGTTCACCTCGAGGATGCAGAAGAGGAAAAATCCAGAGCTGTGAGGGTAACAAAGTATACGTGCCATGTCACTATGTCTCAGCTGTTCAACAGCCAGGACTTTGACACGTCAGCAGTCTTGCTGACGTGTTATAGCAGCCGTCCAACGTTCATGTGCCAGGTAGCCAGATATCGTAGCCTTTAAAGACTCATTAAACTCACTCCTCCATTAAGTCGGAGGACGAGAAAGGAAGAACGACCAGGAATAGTCGACAATGGATATTTCTCGATGCAACAGACCATGCATATTGGACGATGAATAATCAATTCGCCACACCATCGATGATGCTCATGCCAAACACTAGCACGAGGCTCGCAGATACGCCGACGAACAGGTGAGACTGCTCTTGAAGCGCCATCCGTTTTGAAATGATCCTAGATTGCGAGCATCACTTTTAAGGCTAAAAAAACTACCTGACGCTTACACAACAACACGAGTCCAAATCACCTAAGCTAACTAATGAGTCTCAATATGGCTGCGATGGCGCTCACGCAAAAAACCGAATCAGCCAATCCGCGAACTTACCCCAATCGTCTGACATTGCTGACGTCTTTCACTAGCCAAGCTTGAGCCTGAAACGGTTGAAACGATCAGCAACCTTATAGATATACCTTCACAAGTCAAACTTCTGGTGTGCTAATGTCTGCGGCGTGGGAGAGCGCGAGGAAAACAGCTACTTCCTCTCCTTGGTTCTACTAATCTGCTAAGGATACTAGTTTCCGCAAGACAGGAAAGAAAAGTAGCTGGTCAACAGGAGCTGTCAGTCTTCTACGACTGGCCCTATATTGAATGAAAATAAACCAGAAAAGAAGAGCATCTGTGAGAAGGGGTAAGTCCTAAGATGGAAATCTGAGCCATAATCAAGTTTCTGGCTGGGAGAATGCGTGGCTGTAAGGAGGATAGGGCTTCATAGGGAGAACGCCGATGATATCACCTGATTGGCTGGGGTGGGGGATTCCTGCTTCTGGAGGTCGCAGGTGGTACATCGTCCGAGCGACTGACACGTGGACTGCTGATGCGTTGACGAAGGCTTTGCTTGCTTAGCAGTTACATGCGCAATTGAGACCTGTATAATTATATATGCTAGGCACGAGAAATAAAACTTTGTCAATGCTAAGCAAGCACAAAATGCTGGTACCGTACATTGCAGCTAGCAACAAAAACAGAAACATGCACTGATATCCTACTTGAATTCAAAACATGAACTAATCTAGACTCGAATATGGAAGTAGTCATTGTCGAAGTGGTGAAGTCGGACATAACCATCCTCTCCACCGCTTGCAAAGCTGCATACAAACACCAACAAACAATGAGCTCCCTGACCACTGAAGACACTCCAACAAAACAGAAAAGTGACAATGAATGAAGCCGAGAACCTGAGACGAAGTGACAATAATTCAAAGCTGCATACCTTCGTCCATCAGGGCCAAACGCAAGAGCGTTCAACGGGCCGAAATGGCCCTTCACCCGGCCAATCTCTTCTTCCAATACCTGCCAGAATGATCGTTCACAAGGGAAACAGCAAATGCATGGGCACTGAGCACAAGGCACTGAGCGACCTTCTTCATACGGTAATAACAAAACAGAATCGACTACGAGTAAGGGAGGAAAGCACAAGTGGCACTGAAGTAGCACAAATTCGTCCACAGAAGAGGCTCATGAGGGACAGAGAGGAACAGAGAAAACAGAGCAGGGATCACAAACCTTGTGGTAAAAGACGGCTTCAAATTTGCCTGCTCGGGACGAAGTGGTGGTGACAGATGCAGCATCCTGTCCTCCTCCCAGCACCACCTGCAGGCAAACGTCGGGAATAAGCAAACCACAGGAGAAAGCAATCATGACTATCAAGTGGTGGTGACAGATGCAGCATCCTGTCCTCCTCCCAACACACATGCAGGGAACGATAGGAGATAGGCAAACCACAGGAGGTAGCAATATGGTGATCACCTGTTGGTGACACATGCAGCATGGTGACCTCCTCCCAGAGAATGTCAGAGAGATAAAGGGAGGAAGAAAGGTGATGGTCGTTGTGAAGGCAGGGAGGGGAACTGATTGGTGAGGTAGTGAGAGTGGACGAGGAGAGGGGAGGAGGAACTGACATGGTCGAAGAGAGGGGAGATGTCAGCGGCGTTGATGGGTCGCTCTGTCTGGTACGTCTTGAGCAGCCAGAGGTGAGGCTCAAGTGGTTATAGAAAGGTGATACTAACACCGTCAGCCGGAGTGAGACAAAAATTATCGAACTAGGAGAGGAACTGACATGGTCGAAGAGAGGGAGATGTCAGCGGCATTGATGGGTCGCTCTGTCTGGTACGTCTTGAGCAGACGCAGTGTGCGTGTGTCCCACAGCTGCATTGGGAAGAGGAAAGTCACAAAGAACGAAAACACACGTTAGCAGGGGGGGAAAAGAGAGAAGAGAGAGAGAGAGAAAAAGATGTCACAGGTGGAAGCGATTCATCTGCTGGCAAGTTCTCCTGCTTAAACCTGAAGGAGAAAACTTGTCACAGGGACTACTGTGTACTTTCTCCCTTCTCCCTTCTTTTCCGTTCTTCCAGCTCACCTTGGCACACGTATTATCCAACGACCCTGTGATGAAGTGCGACCCGTCTGCTGACAGATTACAGTGGCACAAACACTAACTCTTTCTAGCACATGCATGGAGTCTCACCTTGGCACACTTATCCAACGACCCTGTGATGAAGTGCGACCCGTCTGCTGACTTGGACAGTGACGTCACTGTCTTGCTGTGCGCCACTTCCGGCTCCGTCTCTCGCAGCAGCTTGCCCGTCTGAGTGTGTTGGAAGAGCAAGGGGCGGAGGGAGAGGAAAGAGGGAAGAGAGGGGTGGGTGGGAATTCACATGCATGGAAGGCAGGTCTTGCTGTGCGTCACTTCAGGCTCCGTCTCCCGTAACAGCTTGCCCATCCGAGTGCGTTGAGGAAGAGAGGAAGAGAGGAAGAGAGGAAGAGAGTGGGATAAATGGGGAAGAGGGAAGGTAGTAAGGTCGGCACGGGAAGCAAGCGATGGGCATAGAGGGGCACTGGGGAACGCGAGCATGTGGGCATGGATGGGCGGCAGCATCGTGAAAAGTCTTGATAGACGTTTCAAGTGTTGAGTCGACTCACACGGCGGGTGTGCATGAGTAAAGCCCCCACCCCACCAGGGAACCCACCACCCGTCCGCTCACCTCAGCGTCCTACATGCAAATAATGCAGTCCTCCCCCGTGCACCTGAGCGGGTCTGGTGGAGTGGGTCCCACACACACATGCTAGTCGCAGGCTCGCTAGCAGCACAGCACACCTCCCATGAACACCAACGTTATCACCTATTACCCCCTTCATCAACACCACCCATCCGCCTCACCTCGGCGTCCCACATGCGGATGATGCAGTCCTCCTCCCCCCCGTGCCGATGAGTGTTTTGTTGAGTGGGGACCTACCACTCACATTCACCCACCATCAGCACCCTACCTATCACTACCATCCAGCATTACACCCATGAACACAGCACATCCGCTCACCTCTGCGTCCCACATGCGGATGATGCAGTCCTCCCCCGTGCCTATGAGCGTCTGGTTGAGAGGGCCCCACACACAGCGCATGATTCGGCCCTGGGGACCCGTGATCTGCAGCACTGACTCGTCCTCCTCTGATGGTGAAAAAAACAGAGTGAGTGGAGGGGAGAAGAGCGTCAGGTAGGAGGGAGGGTCAGGGACACAAACAAATGATTCGGCCCTAGGGACCCGTGCTCTGCAGCACCGACTCCTCCTCCTCTGATGGTGAAGTGGAAGGAGCATGGGCAGGGAGGGAAACAAAAGCAGCACTTATCCAACAGGGAGACGCGCAGCGCATGATTTGGCCCTGGGGGGCTGTGACCTGCAGCACCGACTCCTCCTCCTCTGATGGCAACAGAAGGGGGGAGAGGCGGGGAGGACAGATGAACGAGCACACGGAGCGGGAAACTGAGAGGC